AACCCCCGCTTCCCGGGTTCAGGCAATTCTCCTGCCTCAGCCTCCCGAGTAGCTGGGATTACAGGCACGCACCACCATGCCCAGCTAATTTTTTGTATTTTTGGTAGAGACGGGGTTTCACCATGTTGACCAGGATGACCAGGATGGTCTCGATCTCTTGACCTCGTGCTCCACCCGCCTCGGCCTCCCAAAGTGCTGGGATTACAGGCGTGAGCCACCGTGCCCGGCCCGGGACTGGGGATTCTTTAGCAGGGATTGTTAAAATGGGTGGCTCCAAGCTGGAAGGACTTCCAGTCTTGCATTCGCCGCTACCAGCTGTTTGTAATGGAAGAGGTTCAGTGACTCTTCTTGGGCACTAGATGGCGATCAGGCATCGATAAGGCCCAACAACAGCCTCGGACCAGGGACCTGGGCTTGGCTCCTCCAAGCCCTGCCGCCACCCTGGGAGGTGGCCGTTGTCATCCTGATTGTCTGCGGGAGACCAGTGAGGCAGGCGGCGGGGATTAGGACTTCGCCCAACGGTCACACCCTCCTTCAACCCTCCGTGCATCAGGTTTTAAATTCATGTGCAGTGACCACCGTCAGCATCCACCGCCGAGGGTGAGGGGCACAGCCCAGGAGCGAGACCAGGAGGCCAGCAGTGGAGGGAGGGCCGTGTGCACTGTAGCCAGGGACCACGGAGCAGGTCTGCTCCACCGGCCTCAGGGAGGAAGAACTCTTGAAGCCCCAGAAGGGGCTGTGTTCTAAGCCTGCTGCCCAGGCCTACCTTGCAGCCCCCAGGAGGGTTTTAAGGATGTTTCTAAGAACACTCATGCCACTCTTACCGCACTTTACACATATCAAGGTAGTTAATCCTCACACAAGCATGATGGGTTGGGTCCTATCATCATTGCCATCTTACAGATGAGGAAACTGAGGCACAAGGAAATTACAAAGTTTGTCCAAAGTCATCTGTAGACAAAAAAAAAAAAAAAAAAAGGAAAAGAAAAGAAAAAAGAGAGAGAGAAATTCTGAAGCTATAAATGAACTCTCCTCTCAGTAAGGACATTCTAAAGCTAACCTGTAAAGCTAGTTCAGGACATGATGGGGAGTGGGGATCAGAGGTCAGACATGCCTCACTATGCCCTCATTACTGACAGAACATTTACAATCTATTACTTACTAGAATTATTGAGAGAACATTAGGAATTGCTGATAGAACTTTTACAATCTGTCCTCTCTGAAGCCTGCTACCTGGAGGTTCCACATGATAAAACTTTGGTCTTCACAACCCCTCATCTTAACCCAGACATTCCTGAATCTTTAGACAATAATGTAACTCTTTCAACCAATTCCCAATCAGAAAATCTTTGAATCTACCTATGACCTGGAATCCTCCCCACCGCCAACCCCTGCAGCTTCCAGTTGACTCACCTTTCTAGACAGAACCAATGCTCATCTTACATGAATTTGATTCATGACTTATGTCTCCCTAAAATGTATAAAACTAAACTGTGCCCTGAACACCTTGGGCACTTGTTCTCAGGATCTCCTGAGAGCTGTGTCATGAGCCATTGGTCGCTCATATTTGGTTCAGAATAAATCTCTATAAAAATTTTACAGAACTTGACTCTCTTCATCAACACATTCAAAAAGTAGGTGACAGAGATGAAATTCCACCATTTTTTGAGACAATTTCACTCTGTCACCCAGTCTGGAGTGCAATGGCACAATCTTGGCTGACTGCAACCTCTGCCTCCTGGGTTCAAGCAATTCTCCTGCCTCAGCCTTCCAAGTAGCTGGGATTACAGGTGCCCACCACCATGCTCAGCTGATTTTTGTATTTTTTTAGTAGAGATGGGTTTTCCCCATGTTGACCAGGCTGGTCTTGACCTCTGGACCTCAGGTAATCTGCCTCCCAAAGTGCTGGGATTACAGGCAGGAGCCACTACGCCCTGCTGCGAAATGTTTTAGGTGAATTTTGTTACAGTTTTAATCACGATAAAGCTCATCAATTGGAAAAAAAAAACTTGTTACCTCTTCAGACCTTGGGATGAAGCAACCGACTCCCTCTCTTACGGTATTGCTATGACAGTCAACAGAAGCTGTCAGATTGCTTGCCTTTGTTCTTTGAGAAATTAGAACTCCCTCAGCCTCCACTGCCTGCAGGTTACATTTCCAACCAGTGACTCATTTCATTGAGGTGAATTCTTTTTCCTGTAACGATAGCAAGTTTGTTCTACTAGTTGGGTCTTGATGAGAACATTGAATAGGAACCAAAAAGAATTCCGCAGCCCAGGACAATTAGGTTAAGCCACGAAAGCCCTCTAACTCCTGTAAAACCTCTCAAAGGGGCATGGTGAACGTGAGTCTTCACAGCCCTCTGGGGCCAGCACGATGGCAAAATCACACCACCCAGAAGCACTTGGCCCCCAGCTAGGACATTCTGGGTTTGGTCTGGCTCCTTCTCTCAAAGGTCCCTGGTTGGCTCAGTGGGGCTCTGCACCATCTATCTGGTCCTCTCCAGGGAGAGCAGGTGTGGGGCGGCACGGGCAGCCGCCTGGGTCAGGCCTCCACTGGGAGATGCCGGCTTGCAAGTAAAAATTAAACTCATGTCTCTTTTGCTGTTGGTGTTATTTGGATACAAAATATATTCTTTTTTCAAATTAAGTTTTTGAAGCATTGAATGTTAAACTACTGGCAAGGTAATGTGAAAACTACAGCATTTAGAAAGGTTTGGGACTATTCTCAGATTTTAGCTAAAATGTCACTTTCCTAGAGAAGGCTTTCGTGACCATGCCCTCCCGACCCCTCCATCATTCAGTCAAGACCTTCTGTGATGCCTTCCAGCACCACCAGCCTTCCTTCATTGTAATGTGATTATTTGATGTGTGCCTGTCCCCACCTCCTTCCCCCACCTCAGACACACTAAGCACCATGCTTGTTTTGATAACCAGAGTGATCAGGAGATGCCTCAAATTACCAAGCATGTGAATTACTTTTAACAAAATAAAGAAAGAAAATAAATGAGATGTTCAATTAAAGAAGGGGAAAAATTATCCACCCAAGTGAGGTCCTGTCATATGGTAAGTTTATTCATTAACTACAGAATGGCATGTGCACCCAACGGCCTGTGGTGCAGTCATTAAAATTCGGAAGTATTTGTTGACTAAGAAAGATGTGGGCCGGGCACGGTGGCTCAAGCCTGTAATCCCAGAACTTTGAGAGGCCAAGGCGGGTGGATCACGAGGTCAAGAGATCGAGACCATCCTGGTCAACATGGTGAAACCCCGTCTCTACTAAAAATACAAAAAATTAGCTGGGCATGGTGGCGCGTGCCTGTAATCCCAGCTACTCAGGAGGCTGAGGCAGGAGACTTGCCTGAACCCAGGAGGCGGAAGTTGCAGTGAGCCGAGATCACGCCACTGCACTCCAGCCTGGGTAACAAGAGCAAAACTCCATCTCAAAAAAAAAAAAAAAAAAAAAAAAGAAAGTTGTTAATAAGAAGCCTTGTGAAATAAGCAGTTTTATAAAGCAGTCAATGATTTCATGAAAAATACAGAAATGTGCATAAGAAAGAGACATTTGGAAGTAAAAACTGATAATGTCAGGAGCAATGACATCTGCTGGGGAGCAGCTGAGGAAGGAACCCCCAGCTGAGTGCCTGCCATTTCCTCCTCTCCCTGAGCCCCAGCTAGGTCACATTTCCCAGCCTCGTTTGCAGGTAGGTGTGGTCATAGCTGCCCCTTGTCAGTGGCAGAGGTGATGTGGACCACCTCCAGGCTTGACCTGCTGACACTCCCCATGTCCCAACCTCTATATTCTTTTGCCATCTGCTGGCTGGAGGCTGATGTCCAAGGTGGCTTTGACTTTGGCAGCCACATGGCGAAGGTGGCATAGCTGCCAGCATCCTGAAACCCTGAGCAACTGCATGAAGCAGGGCTTTGCATGGCACCAACATGTACACCAGCCTAAACCTGCACCTGACTGGGGCCGGAGCAGTATCTAACAGGCCATGGCAAAGCAGGGTGAAGCTAAGGATGGAGTCAGATGGAGAGACAGGGACCTGGAGGTTGCTGGGAAGGTGTTTCAGAGACTCATCTTTTCAGGTCTCTCCCAGTACAGTGCTGTGACAGGGGCCTTGCTCCTTCTTGTAAAGGATCTGATTGTATCTGAGCTCTGTCAAGCCTCGTCTGCCTTTTCCACCACGGAGCAAGCTCCCTTCCCATGCCCTCAGGTGGACTCCACAACCTTCTAGCATGTCCAGTTACTAAAGCAGTCTCATGTGGTTACAATTCAATCTTGTCCAATTTAAAAGTTTCAGTCTCATATTTTATCTAAAGCCTTCTGGGCAGGCCACACTTGTGACTGTCATGGTGTGGAATGAAGGGCACTGTGTCTGGCCTCCTTCTTCCTGGCCTGGGTTTGGGGCATTAAGGAGGGAAAGAGGAAAATCGATCCCCTGCTCTATCTCTATGTGGCAATTGGCTGTGCCCTTTGGGTTGAGTGGAACCATTGCTCCTTTCTGTGGCAATCCCACCTCAGTGGCAACAAGGTGCTGGTCTTATGACTGAGGTTGATTTTCTTTAGGCATCCTGCTCTGGCTCTTATGTGGGAACAGTGCCTGGGCATGGGAGATCTGGCCCAGGATGTCCACTCTACCCGGGATAATGATGGATCTTTCCTACCCTGGCACTCTCTCCCTTAGTCAGTGGTATGCAGGAGCCAGCTTGGACCAGCTCATAGGAGCTAATGATTAGATTTTTAGGAGTTTTGTGAGCAGATTGATGTTTCTTTTGTGGTTTGAAATATGTCATGCTGGGAGTATTTACACCACAGGAATTGGCAAAAGCTGTGCATCAAGACTGTTATTTTCTACCCAGAGAACTGGTTATTAAAAATTTGTTAGCACACCACTGACTTTCTCTGTGGGGTGAGTGGCTCAGCTACTTTTAAACAAGAGACAACCACTACTGTCAAACAAACCTGGTATCTGAAACCAAAAGTTGAGCATTCTGCCCCGTAAGCAAGGGAGGACTGTATTGCTGAACACCTGAGTCTCTCTGAAGAAGCAAACTGCTGACTTTATGTGGGGTTTTGAGAACTATGATCTTCAGGGGTTGGAGGATTTTTGGAGCCAAGGTGAGTTGTCCCATAGCTGTGATATTGTGGCCACTGGGATTTAGCTGTTATTGATTGGCTGGCTTTTAGAGGTGGAGCTACTGATGTGAAGATGCTGTTGATCGACTGGAATGGCTTTGAAACTGATCACGGTGGTTACTTGTTACTACCATCAGAGAACAATCTGCTCTTCCCTTCCTCAGATTTGGACTATAGGAAGTCACCATTCTCTGACTTAGCGATGGGATCTTGGTTCTTAAAGGAAAGGTGGTTTAAGTGGAGGTCCCATGGAGAGATGAGGAAGAATATATGGAGTTTTGTTCTTTAAACTCGGTGTTTGCTGCACCAAAAGCAATCAGCCTTTGCTCTTCTAGAGCTTCTCTCCATGTCCAAAGCCTCTAACTGGTTTGGCTTCTCTTTTCCATGGGGCACAGGGAGTCCTGCTGAGAATCAGGTCTTCTCTGATCGCCATGCTGGGGAGTGGTGACCATTTGTAGGAGTGTCCATCTTCAGGGAAGATGCTGCCATCCTCCAGTACCTTCTGCAGGGCAAAGAAAGATCTCACCAGTATATCACACCCTCCTGTTTTGTTCACATAATTGTTCTCTCTATGGTTCTCATTCCCCAATTTTCATTCATAGAATGCTTTTCTGTGCATAAAGCTGAAAATGGTCATCTTTTAACTTCTCAGCTGTCACTCTGGGGCAACATAGATTACAAATACAGAGCTTGCTTAAGGCTCAGAGCATTTCCTTGGATGCTTTGGATACTATATTTAAAAGTACCAAAAGTAAACACAACTGTGGTCCATTATGTAGAGTCAACCATCTTATAAAAGATCACATACAGCCAGTGTTTACCTAAGGGCAGCAAAAACAGCAATGCTGCAATTAATTATTTAGGCAAGAGCATCTCTGAGAATTGCTTAAGTGATATTTATGATATTTTTCCATGGCAACTATTCTTGTTTTGAATATTATTAAAAATCTATCAAACTGCAATAGTAATGTACTTCTGGTTTAAAAATTGCATTGAGCTAGCATCCCCAGATACAGCCTCCCCCAATGAACTGATAAAATTCCTGTTGAAGATGAAGAAACTGTAAGTATGGCAGCTTAGTCGTGGGCTGGCTGGATGCAGAGCCCCTCGAGCAGAAGGATCACAGCACCAGAAAGGACAGCTGTGCAGGCCAAGGTGTAGATGAGATGCAATTTTCTACACAGTGTATTAGCTTCCTATTGCTTCTATAACAAATTGTCACAAATTCTGTGACTTAAAACAACAAAGTTTATTATATTATAGTTCTGAAGGGCAAAAGTCTAAAACAGGATGGCAGTGCTATGTTCCTTGAGGAGGCTCTAGAGGAGGATCTGCTTCCCTGCCTATCTGGCTTCCAGAGGCCACTTGCATTCTTAGGCAGAAGAGCCCTTCCTGCATCTTCAGAGCCAGTCCATTGCATCTTCAGATTTCCCCCTGCCCCTCACCTCTGTGTCTGTTTTTCATATTTTCTTCTTCTGACTCTGACCTTCTCACCTCTCTCTTATAAGGACTCTGTGATTACATGAGGCCACCCCAATAACACAGGTTAATTTCTTCATCTCAATATCCTTAAATCGTTATGAACAAAGTTCCTTGTTTGCCACATAAAGCAGCACATTCATGAGTTTGGAGATTAAGATGTAAACATCTCTGGGGAGCCAATAGCTCACTTCACACAGGTTCACATCTAATGTTCTGGGAAACATCAGGACCTCCTGGTAATGGGGATATATGAAGATCAGCTTTGAATTCATGGGATAAATGGGGGACAGAGCAGGTGTAGTGTGGTCCCCATAGCCTGCATGAGCCTTGAAATTTTTATTGCAGGGAAGAAGGGATTTTAGAAACTTGGCTTGTCCAGCACTGACAATTCCTGACCTACAGGATGGCTTGGATGGACCATAGTTAAAAGATGTGAAACACAGAGACATTCTTATGACTCTGATATCTGTCTCAAACTCATATGTTGAAGCCCTAATCCCCAATGTGACTGTATTTCAAATAAAGAAGTAATTAAGATTAAATGAAGTCATAAGGGTGGGTTCTTATCCAGTGGGATTAATGTCCTTGTAAGAGACACCAGAAAGCTTCCTCCCCTCTTCTGCTTGTGCACAAAGAAAATGTCATGAGGGCATATGGGCACATGATGAGAAGGTGGCCATCTACAGTCTAAGGGGAGAGCCCTCATTGGCACCAATGCTGCCAACACCTTGATCTTGGACTTACAGTCTCCAGAGTTGTGAGAAGATAAACTTCTATTGTTTAGGCCACCTAGTCTCTGTGATATTTTGTTAGGGCAGCCTAGTCGACTAAGACAAATGCCTTTTAGACTGTTTAGGAAGTTGGAGTGCTTCATACTGCCCTTCAGCCTGCAGAGCACGCCTGCCACGTTCCAGGAGCTGGGTGGGTTACAATAATACTCCCGCTTATTCTCCAAGCCTCTTCTCAGGTACACCTTTATTCCACCTCCAGGAAACAAAAGCAAAAACAAAAACAAAAAAATACCTCTCTGCCATGCCATGCAGCCTGGGCGTTTGTGTGAGGCCAGGCTAGGTCTCCACAGGCCAACATAAAACATCCAAAAATTGCAGAGGTTTTTCAGCTCCTATACTTCTTTACATTTCCCTGCCCCAACAGCCCAGTTTGGCCAATTTGTTACCTTCAAAAAGGAAATAGGGGCTTGCCTGGTCTGTTGGCATTAACATTTCCGAAGAGCTAAAGAAGCTCTTTACTTGGGCTGGCTTCGTGTTACCGAGCATTATCGAAACAGGCATTTGAGCTGAATTTGTGTCAGGTGAGCTGTACACAAAGACAGAAGGAATAAAACTCAAAACCACCATGGACCAATAGCCAGAGTTTCCATCACCTCTGCAGGGCCCATCTTAATAGGCCTTCAGATAAGGTCTCTGTTCTATTCCCATTCACCACATTAGTCTACTCTCTACCTTGTCTCAGAATATTCTTTCCCAAATGTAAACTAATTCTCTTTTCCTCCTCCTTAAGATCCTTTAATGGCTCTAGTTTGTCCCAAGGATAAAGTTCATGCTCTTTTACTTGGTGGCATCAAAAGCCCTCCCTGAGCACTCTTTTCTGCCTTTGGGTCCTAGCTCCCCTTCTCATGCTCCTGAGTCAGCCCTGTCTGATGTGCCTGTTCCATGGCCCTGTGTCCTTGCAGGCTCTCTCCGCTCCACGTGACGTGCTCTCACCCGCCCTCCCATCCTGGAAGGACCCACCTCCCCCCACAGAATTTCTTTTGCTTGAGCCCTATTTTGCCCAGGCCCTGCCAAACAGGAGCCACTGTCATGGAAAAAACAGGAGCTCAAGTAGATTCTTGATCCAATTAATAAACCCTCATTCTCAGCAAAGTTGCACATAAAATTTATGTAATTGTTTCATGCAAGATAAAGCACTATCTGTGACCTCTTGCTAATCATTTCCACCTCTGATTTCCTATTTTGGTTTCAAATGCAGAAGTTAGTTTAATGAAGGGCTTGCATGAAGACCCACTGCTGGGGCACACACACCTGGAGGTGACATTGTTCAGACTACGAAGAGTTATCTGAGGTCTATGTGGCTGATTTTTAAGTTGGTGTTTATCAAAGCATTTCTAAATTATCTCACTCTTCAGAGATTCTCTAAGGAGGCTGGGTTATAAAATGGCCAAGCTCTTTTATTTCAGCGGTCTAGCTTTGGGCCATAATAAAATGTGAGCTGGTGTTTAAAGAGACTTGCGAGGGATATAGGGATGGAAAATGAGTTTCATCATAAACTATTCAGTTATTCTCGGTGGTCCTGTGATTATCGGGGCCGACTTCTCCGTCAGGACAGGGAGCTCATGGCTCAAAGCCCATGATACTTTAGGAGCCCACAAAAATATGTCAATTTCTTCTAAAACCAGAAGAAAAAAAGAACGTTTAGGGTGAAAAGATGTTTTAATTATTTTCTCTCACCAAAAATAAATGATAAATGTTAGAAACTCTATTAGTTTGCTAGGGCTGCCAGAACAGAAGACCACAGACAAGGCAGCTTAAACAGCAGAAATGTATTTTCTCAGGATTTTAGAGACTGAAAGACCAGGACCCAGGTGCAGGCATTGTTTATGCCTACATCTTAGGGGACCCCTACATCGGGACCCCTCCCTTGACCTGTGGATGGTGTTTGCTTGCTGCTTCTTCCCAAAGTCATCCTCTGTGCACATGCACCCTTGGTGTATATTTCTGTATCTGAATTTCCTCTTTTTACACAGACACCAGTCTTTGGATCAGGACTCGCCCTGATGTCCTCTTTTTAACTGAGTTCCCTCTTTAAAGACCCCATCACCAAATACAGTCACACTCTGAAGTAGTGGAGATTAAGGCTTCAACATATGAAATGTTGGGAAACACAATTTAGCCCATATCAGGGTCTCCAAAAATCTATTATTATGGGAGGGACCCGCAAAGGCAATAGGACTCACAAAAATCACAGCATTGAAACCACCATTGCAAAAATTGTAACACTGAGAAAATTTTAACAGAAAAAGAAATCTGATCTGACCAACTCCATCTTGGCTTTAACCTCCAAACTGCCCTTGGTCATTCCTAAGCAAGGACCAAGCTAACTTTGAAAGTAACTTAGTTTATGGTTCAAATGCCAATAGTTCTTCCCGAAACTCAGCTGCCTCTGTAACACTAATGGAAAGTCACCAGGTTAGGAGAATAAGAGGGCCTGAATTCCACTAAGATGTAGGCATAGTTAAACAATTACCAGCCATTATTCCACAGGTCATAAGAGTTGCAGCTTCCCTGATTATTCCTGACAATTACATTAGTGTTGTATAACCTAAGTTTGCTCTTTTGAGATGTCTTTTCAAGCTTTTGCACTTTTGAGGGCTGGATGGCACCACTTGGATACATGACTCTTGACTCAACTGGTCCTGTGGTCCCCACCCAGAAGTGGACTCAGTGCATGAGGACCATTTTCCACACCCCTGTAATTGCATGCCCAACCAATCAGTAGAACCTACTCCTTAGCCCCATGCCTGCCAAACGGTATTTGAAAAACCCTAGCCTCCAAATTCTGAAGGAGGCTGATTTGAGTAGCAATAAAACTCTGGTCTCCCATTTAGCCGGCTTTATGTGTATTAGACCCTTTCTCTATTGCAATTCGCCTATCTTGATAAATAGGCTCCATCTGGGCAGCAGGGATGGAGAATTTATTGGGAAGTTACAGTGTGGTCCTGGTGACAGTAGATTAGGTTGATTTTCTGCATGGAGGAGAATGGAACGAGAAAGTGTCCTGGCAGTCTGTGGAAACTCAGAATGGTTAAGCCAATGATGGCAAGGGCTCTACCGCATTTACCAGCAGGGGCCCCTTCTTCTCCTGTCAAACCCACTGTTGGCTGAAACTCAACAACATATAGAATCAATAAAGCATGTTACGACAATTCTTTAACTTTCTTCTTAAGAGTCTGTTTACCAGGGCATCAGTTTAAAAAATTTATACACTGGATTCATTCAACAAACATAGAATTATTTGTTACTAAACTGCAAAGTGCTGTGCTAGGCCCTGTGTTGAACTTATAAAAGGAAACTATCAATGTGTTTTCCATGTCCTGGTCTCTAACAGAGTAGCAGGAAGCGGCCAAGTGACTAGGGCCCAGAATTTGACTCACTCAGGATAGAGAAGACCACATCCTGTCTCATATTTCTGCTTCTCATTAACAGGAAGCTGTGTGTGTTCAGAGAGTGCTACAGGCATTCATCATATTCACAGACACCGAAGGAGACTTTCTAACATTCACAAGTGTGTGCTGCCCCAAGGTCAGCGAAGGTCATCCACAAAGCCAATGTTGAAGGAAAAGTGAGGATCATGCTACCTATGAGATGAAGCCACCAAATGGCCCCAAATGTTAGCCTGGGCACACATGAGGTCATTTATCTTCACTTCTACCAGTAAGAATGTACAGTAAGTTTCCTCGCTGTGTTTCTAAGGGCTGTACTGATTGTCTCATAGAACCCCTGGGGGAGGAAAGAAATCACAGTAGAGAAGCCACTTATAAAACATCAAGTGGCATACTTGTTATTTATAAAGCTGCTTTTTCATGCTCTGGCATGTCTTTAAAATTTTCATGCCTGTAATCCCAGCACTTTGGGAGGCTGAGGCGGGTGGATCACAAGGTCAGGAGTTCAAGACTAGCCTGGTCAGCATGGTGAAACCTTGTCTCTACTGAAAAAACAAAAAATTAGCCAGGTGTAGTGGTGCGTGCCTTAATCCCAGCTACTCAGGAGGCCTGAGACAGCAATGAGGAACATTGCTTGAACCCAAGAGGCAGGGGTTGCAGTGGGCTGAGATTGTGTCATGCACTCCAGCCTGGGTGACAGAGCAGAACTCTGTCTCAAAAAAAAAAAGTAAGAAATTTCCTTCAGGGGCTAGGACTAGGTCCTGCCGGGGGTTGACTGTGGCCGGAGGATGCAGCGTCTCACCAGTGAGAATACTGTGGAGCTGCTGCTGTGAATAAACAGGGGACAAGTTTTGCCCATGTCTGGAGCAGGCATGAGGGAATTCTGCTTTGAGTTCAGTTAGCAAACAAACTCGGTGAAGCAGAGGTCTCACGGAATGGTTATCACACCATTCATGATTCCTTCTTCCAGGCTGAGTTCTATGGGAACAAGTGGTATAATCCAGACCCAGGGACTCTGAATTGGCACTGACCCCTAAGGAGCAAACTGTTACAGAGAAACCTGTTAAGACCGGTGAATAATTGACCTGGGCTCCTGGAGACACTCAGTGAAGCATTTCCAAGGCATCTAACCACAAACTGTAAATGTTAATTGGCACTGTTGACGAGAGACTCAGATAAGGAGATCAAAGGCACAGGAAGTCATAACTCCTGACATTGCTTTTCAGACAAGTCAGGTTAGAATCATCTTACTCTTCAAAATGCTTTTCACAGTGTTTCTGCCCTGATGGGCAGGAAAAGTTTAATTATAGAGTGATCAGCAAGAGGGCGGAGTCTGCCCTTCATGATCAAGTCTGGACAATCATGTGTGAGGAATATTTGTTTAGAATAGGGCTGGTTATTCTCTCTCTGGAAGCTGAAGTGCATCTCAGCTATCAGATTGAACATTAAACTAGGCATTTTTTAGATAAATTTAATCTGATAATTAGCCCTGTGGCTTCCCCAGCACTGAACTCAAACCCGTCTTCCTTGAGTTACTTGATGATGGTGTCTCACAGTTCTATAGTTTACTTCCCATGCATTTCCAGGGTCTTCCTCTTCCTCTCCCTCTAGGCTTCAGAGGAGCCTCTTCAGGAGGGTCCCAGCCATGGAGACTGGGGGCTACCCCAAGGGCGTTTATTCCTCAGATGACTCCTCACAAGGGCAAGTTGACAGAGGAAAGAGAAGTGAATGTGTTTCCTCCCATTCTCCTGAGGAGGCGGGAGCTGCCCTAGCTGTGCTGAGGTCAACTCTGAAGCTCACTTGTCCAAGTGCCTGGGATTCCTTCCCAGGTATATAGCCTTGGGAGGACAAGACATGGGAGGAGAAGAGCTGCCTCCTACTCAGGGACATTTAGCAGTGGCTTCCTCTCACCTTTGGAGTACACCCTTTCCTTCTAACAAGCAGTAGACTACATTGGAGCCTTTCCTCAAACTCCCAATACGGTGCACTCTCATCCAATTCTCCCCACAATTTGGGGAGCTGTTCCCTCTTTGCCGTCCAAGCTGTATGACTTCCCTGGGGTCCCAGGGTGACATCCTGGGAAGTGAAAACAATATAAAATGAAGGGAAATGAAGAAGAGCCCTGCTCCCTGCTGAGCCTCAGCTCCAGGATACTGGGTACGAGTCAGGGACAGGTCTCCCTTCCTTTCTCAGCATGCTCATTTGGGGCTGCCACGGTGTTTTGTGGGAGTGGAGTAGAAATTTAAAATGGAAATGGACTAGCTGGCCCACAAAGTATGGTAAATGATCATATTTCTATCAGTAGACCTGGGCTCTTTGAAAAGCTGTAGCAAAGATGTGATCATTTCCTAGGGACAATATGATTTAAGAACAAGATGTGTGCATATAAAAGTTCCCTTTTTCCTTCCTGTGATTTTCATGCTTCAGGTTGCATAAAAATTAGTGCACAGGATTGTACATGCACACACACACACACACACACACACACACACACACACACACGAGTTTACCGTACTTTGTGGGCTCTGTAAGGGCTATCAAGGGTGATGTAGACTTTGACCCGTTTTTTGATTGTGGGGGTCAAGCCCTGCCCAGAGCACCCAGCCTAGGGCTGGATTGACACTGCTTTGCATTGGACAGAGGGAAAGTGTAGTTCCCTCTATTCGTGGTGAGGGGGCTTTCCTGCGCTGAGGTCCACAGACCCCTCCTGGTCCCCCATTTGAGGAATGTTGACAATACAAGCCTGATTCTTCCTGTGATTTGTACCCCAGTGGGGTCTCACCTGTTTTTTGGCTTGGAAGATTTAGACATTTCATGTTCTCAACTGCTCCAAAAATTGATGAGGACTTGGGAAACCTATTTATATTAACTACACTTAGAAGACCCAGATTAAAATTTGGTAACTGTTGGAGTTTGTATCGATCAGAACAGGCCTGGCTATGCCGCTATGACAGCTCTACACTCAGAGACTCAAAGCAACAAAGCTTTCGTTCTCACTGATGCAAAGGCCACAGCAGGCCCAGGGCAGCTGTCCTCTAAGCGATGGCTTGGTGTTGCTATGATTGATGAGGCAGGGAAAGAGAGCATGTTGGAGGGTCCCCTGCTGCTACTTACAGTCTTTCCTGTAGTAACACAGCCACCTCCACTCACAGCTCGTGAGCCAAAGCAAAGCATGCAGCCACATTGACTCTCCAGTGAGCAGGGAAGAACAGTGCCTGGAAGGAAAGGGACTGGAAATACTGGGATTAACCTTTCTAACTGCTAGTGTGTCCGTGGCTGTATTCCCTCCAGATGGCAAAGCACCTAAGAAATGGAGCCACAAAGCAGATGTCAGTGGGCATCAGCTACACAACAGGAGCTGATGTGTGCTTTTAAAACATAATTGCTAATGATAGCTAACGTTTGTTAATAATAGCTAACGTTTGTTAATAACAGCTAACGTTTGTTAATAATAGCTAACATTCATTAATAATAGCTAACGTTTGTTAATAACAGCTAATGTTTGCTAATAATAGCAAATGTTTGTTGAATGCCTACTTCGTAGATTACATTATAGGACATACAATTTTGCCTGTTATGATAAGTTAAATGAGCCTTTGTCACTCAGTTGCATCAGTTTGAAACCAGACTATTTGTGGCCATCAGAAACAGGGTTTCCTGCACCCATTCAATTTTATGCCCCGCACCTGAAGCATGTTACTTGGTGGCAAACATTTTGTAACAGATTCAATTATAACTTTGTTTTTGCATCATATATATATATATATATATATATATATACACATACCCACACACACACACACATATATGTATATATACATAATATATGTGTGTATGTATATTATGTGGGTCTATATGTGTGTCTGTATCTATGTCTACTCCTCAGTGATCAATTCTTCCATGTTCAATTTCAGTGAAGCCTCATTTTTTTTGGTGAATTTTAGACGTACACTGATTTTCTTGATGACATTTGAAAGATATACTAATATTATCTGCAAAACATTCCTCTTATCTTACCCCCAGATTATAAAAGGAACCTCATGGCAGCTATCCATGAACTGATTACATTTCCATATGTTTGAAAAATTTCATTGTATTGGTCCATTTTCACACTGCTGATAGGGACATACCTGAGACTGAGCAATTTGCAAAACAAAGAAGTTTAATGGATTCACAGTTTCATGTGGCTTTGGAGGCCTCACAATCATGGCAGAAGGCAAAAGACGTGTCTCCCATGGTGACGGCAAGAGAAGAGAATGAGAGCTAAGTGAAAGGAGTTTCCTCTTATAAAAGTATCAAATATCATGAGACTTATTTACTACCACAAGAACAATATGGGGGAAACCTCCCCCATGATTCATATATCTCCCACTGGGTCTCTCCTACAACATGGGGGATTATGTGAGCTACAATTAAAGATGAGATTTGGGTGGGGACACAGCCAAACCATATCATTCTGCCCCTAGACCCTCCCAAATCTCATGTCCTCACATTTCAAAACCAATCATGCCTTCTCAACAGTCTCCCAAAGGCCTAACTCATTTCAGCTTTACTGAAATGTCCACAGTTGAAAGTCTCATCTGAGACAAGGCAAGTCCCTTCTATCTAGCCTGTAAAATCAAAAGCAAGTTAGTTACTTCCCAGATACAATGGGGATGCAGACATTGGGTAAATATAGCCATTCCAAATGGGAAAAATTGGCCAAAACAAAGGGGCTATAGGCCTCATGCAAGTCTGAAATCCAGAGGGGCAGTCAAATTTTAAAACTCCAGAATTATCTCGTTTGACTCCATGTTTCACATCCAGGTCATCCTGATGCAAAAGGTGGGTTCCCATGATCTTGGGCAGCTCCACCTCTGTGGCTTTGCAGGATACAGACTCCCTCCTGGCTGCTTTCACAAACTGGTGTTGAGTGCCTGCAGCTTTTCCAGGCTCATGGTGCAAGCTGTCAGTAGATCTACCATTCTGGGATCTGAAGGATGGTGGCCCTCTTCTCATAGCTCCACTAGGCAGTGCCCCAGTAGATGTGTGGGGGCTCTGACCCCACATTTCGCTTCCACACTGCCCTAGTAGAGGTTCTTTATGAGGGCCCCACCCCTATAGCAAACTTTTGTCTGGACATTCAGGCATTTCCATACATCCTCTGAAATCTAGGTGAGAGTTCCCAAACCCCAATTCTTGACTTCTGTGCACTCACAGGCTCATTACCACATGGAAGTTGCCCAAGGTTGGGTCTTGCACCCTCTGAAGCCACGGTCCAAGCTGTACCTTGGCCCCTTTAAGTCATGGCTGGAGAAGCTGGGATGTAGGGCACCAAGTCCCCAGGCTGCACACAAGAGAGGGAGCCTGGGTCTGGCCTGGGAAACCACTTTTTCCTCCTAGGCCTCAGGGCCTGTGAAGGGAGGCCTGCCACAAAGGTCTCTGACATGCCCTGGACATCTTCCCCCTTGTCTTGGTGATTAACATGTGGCTCCTTGTTACTTATGCAAATTTCTGCAGCTGGCTTGAATTTCTCTTTAGAAAATCAGTGTTTCTTTTCTAGCACATTGTCAGGCTGCAAATTTTAGAAACTTTTATGTTCTGTTTCCCTTTTAAAACCGAATGCTTTTATCAGCACTCAAGTCTCATCTTGAATGCTTTACTGCTTAGAAATCCTTCTGTCAGATACCCTAAATTATCTCTCTCGAGTTCAAAGTTCCACAAATCAACAGCGCAGGGACAAAATGCCACCAATCTCTTTGCTAAAACATAACAAGAGTCACCTTTGCTCCAGTTCCCAACAAGTTCCTCATCTCCATCTGAAACCACCTGAGCCTGGATTTCATTGTCCATATTATGATCAACAATTTGGTCAAAGCCATTCAACAAGTCTCTAGGGAGTTCCAAAGTTTCCTACATTTTTCTATTTTCTTCTGAGCACTCCAAACTGTTCCAATCTCTGCCTGTTACCTAGTTCCAAAGTTGCTTCCACATTTTCAGCAGCACCCCACTCTACTGGTACCAACTTACTGTATTAGTCTGTTTTCATGCTGCTGATAAAGACATACCTGAGACTAGGCAATTTACAAAAGAAAGAGGTTAGTGATTCACAGTTCCACGTGGCTGGCAAGGCCTCACAATCACGGTGGAAGGTGAAAGGCATGTCTCACATGGTGGTAGGCAAGAGAAGAGAATGGGAGACAAGTGAAAGGGGTTTCCCCTTATAAAAACATCAGATCTTGTGAGACTTATTCATTACCATGAGAACAGTATGGGAGAAACTGCCCCTGTGATTCAGTTACCTCCCACCAAGTCCCTTCCATCACATGTGGGAATTACGGGAGCTACAATTCAAGATGAGATTTGGGTGGGGACACAGCCAAACCATATTACTCATTTTCTTTAGTAAGAAAGTAATGATTGCATTGTCTCAGGATTTTCAACATCTCAGTTTGGAATCCTCCTCCCTGTAACTACAGGATATAATATTTTCCATTTGTGTATCTAGTTTAATATTAAACGACTCAGCAGATGCTCATGAAAGTTTCTTCACTGATAACTCTCTGGTTGAATAAAGAGAATCTCCTCTTCCCTTTTAGTTAGCTTAAATTACCATATATTTACCTAAATTGTATTTAATTAATCTTGTTTTATGCTTAATTGTACCACATCCTTGCTTTGATATTTAAACATTTTTAAAGGTGTTTTTGTTTCGTTTGTTGTTGTTATTTTGATAGAATCTCACTCTGTCACTTGAACTGGAGTGCAGTGGCACAATCACTTCTCACTGCAACCTCAACTTCTGGGCTCAAGCAATGCTCCTGCCTCACCCTCTCAGATAGCTGGGGCCACAGGCACGCACCTCTATACCTGGCTAACTTTTAAAATCATTTTGTAGAGACAGGGTCTCCCTATGTTGCCCAGGCTGGTAAATATTTTAAAAGTTTTTGATGTTTGTTGACTCTCCTTAATGGCTTCCTTTTGTCAAACTCAAAACAATTAAGGGTAAATTAATACTCACGGAGAAAATGCAAGCAATTGCAAATGCCTGTCTTTCCTTTGAGCAGGTTTATATAGTAAGAAAGCTTCCCAGAGCCGGTGGATGTATACACTGTACTGTGTCCATAGTCTCCACTGGGAATCCTAAGGTGCTAAAGAATAAACTCCATGGTTGATCTGAGCCATCACCTTAAGATTTTGGGTTTTCAAACTCAGTATGTTTTGGGGTTTTTTTGGAAAATTGTTTATCTTTTTTTCAGAGTGAAGGATTATAATGAAAGGACGTTTTCTTGCTTCCTCTAGATGCCTGGGGTGGGTTGCTGTGAGGTGGGTGGAGCTCTGTCTTCCCAGCAGGATATTCTTCTTTTTCCTGGTGCTGGTTCCTTTGGCCATGGCCAATGATGATGGCCTTTGCAGCACTCCTTGATGTCACCACCCTCCACTAGAGCCAGGCCATAATGTGGCCTGTACAGCCCACCTGCCACTAATTGATGGTGAATCCTCCTGGTTGCCTCATCAATCACAGCTTGGCCAGCAGCCATTATCCAGTGACCTTGCCATACAGAGCACACAACTGCCAGCAACTTCTTCTCATGGCAGTCATGGCTGTTCTCTGTGAAATACGGTACCTGTTGCCTTCAGCACCTTTTCTAGGGTCCTCAAGCTTCAATAATGCATGTTCACATGCCTCTGCATCTCACTTGTCCACTTGTCACTGTCACCTCTGTCTAAGAGCAGCTCAAAGGATTCTCTGGCGAATTCTCTCTCTGGACAGCCACCTTGCATGGCAACTTCCTCAAGGACGTTGTCCACATCTCCTTGGAGAGCAAGGGCAATGTCTTCCTCAATATTATCTCACAGCAGAGTCTTATACATAGTAGGTGCTCAACAGATATATGGCAAAAAAATCCAACTTTTGGGATGAGCCATATGAAATTGTTAATATACAGCTCTTTTTTTTTTTTTTTTTTGAGATGGAGTTTCGCTCTTGTTACCCAGGCTGGAGTGCAATGGCACGACCTCGGCTCACCACAACCTCTGCCTCCTGGGTTCAGGCAATTCTCCTGCCTCAGCCTCCTGAGTAGCTGGGATCACAGGCACGCGCCACCGTGCCCAGCTAATTTTTTGTATTTTTAGTAGAGACGGGGTTTCACCATGTTGACCAGGATGGTCTTGATCTCTTGACCTTGTGAACCACCTGCCTCGGCCTCCCAAAGACAGCTCTTTTTTTTACCCACAAAAATAGCAGTTGCGTATGATTCACTTAATATATGACATAATAATTTTCAACTCATTAAGATTGCAATATATATTGTCAGCTCTCAGAATTGTTCTTAAGATAGAATATTATTACCTGAAAATGTTTGACTTGGTCACTGTTTAGTCACAGTCATTTATCCTTTTCCTGAATATGCATTACATGCTTCAGATAATTTTAAGGCACGAGAAATAATGCACTGTATGTATTTTAATCAACTGTGTAGGACCTTTTGATGCAACACGTGATGCCTTTCCAGATCTAAACCTAAAACAGCTCAAAGAATCACTCAGAAATGTTTGATCAGATCTCCAGTTTAAAATAATACAATGTCTCTTCTAATTTCTCAATAACACAGCTAAGAAAACAGGAAAATAGTGAAACTCATTGAAACATGAAGTGGCAACAACTAAGAAAAGTCTTCATGCCGTGATCTGGGAGGAATTAACACCAATCATCGCAGAAAACAAAGCTGGGTAAGATCAAACAAGCAAAGTGTGAGTCAACCAGTGTTGCTCCCAGGCTTTCCCTAAACAAAATCGAGATGACCTTTTTCTTCCTCCTCCTCTTTCTTTTCCTTCTTCAAAGTCACTCTATCTCCTAACTTGGGCACCCGGGGTCTGGATCAGCAAGAGAATGTGTGGGTCAGCTACCTCTTCTCCTTGGGGCTGCATTTCCCCCTCCCCACCAGTTCTCCTCTCTGCTCACAAGCAACACAGGAGAAAGGTGATGAGGCTAGTCAGGGAGACCGGATAGAAGAGGCTCAGAGCATTTTGGGAGTTATGGTCTTCAGGAGTGAGAAAGAAAAGAAACTTTTTATCTGAGGAATGTGAGCCCCCTTAATTACCAGGCCCAGAGAGGCAATGAAATGTGATAGCGTGTGACAGCAGTCACATCTCACTCCCTCTTGAGCTAAATAATTACCTCTTGAAACCACTTGCTATATGGGCTCTAGACTAACTGACGCCAAGTAGCCATAAAGTGCCATACACCCTATAGTTCACTAATGTACAGCCAATCACTAATCAATGTTATTTCTGTAAACCAATGAGAATTTGACAATAACTTTGTAGCAGCCCATTCCCTGTCCCCCTCTTGCCTTTAAAACCTTGCTAGTAACAAAGGCCAAAGGGGAACACTCTCCAAAGCAACTTGGAAGTGTATCCTGAGAAACCGTTGGCCCAAATAAATTCTATTAATTTCACCTCAGTTTCTTTCTTTGGGTTAATAGGAGTATATAATAAGAACAATGTCTATGGAGGGCTGACTATGTGCTAGGCATCATAGTGCACATTTAACAACAATTACTAGGGGAATTTCTATTAAACCTTTATTTTTCGGCAGTGGCCTCCTCTTAATTAATTTCATTGCTTTACTCTTGGGAATTGCCTGGATTTTTTTTTCTAATTCCAAACAGTTTCTGTGCATCTTCCAAGATGAATCTAGAAGTCCTTAAAATTATAGTTCAATGATAGATCAGTCTCCAGCAGACCTTCGCTGCTCTCTGAAAGGGCTTTTGGTCAGCCCAGAGTGATTCAAGGACTAAGCACTCCAAGGTGCGCTCAGGCCAAAATGTATCTGTAGATTTTTCATATTGCTTCAAGGGCTGTTTACCTTAAGATTTTTTTTAAACTAGTCTTTGTCATTTTGCATATTTAGCTTTTAACCCAATTTTGTAAGATCAGGTCTGCAAACCTGTAATTACCTGTGTAATTAAAGTGAGATGTATCATTAAAATATTCAACCTATTTTTTAAAAAAGATCCCTTTTTGTTTCTGTAAAAATCATGTCTGCTTATTGTTAACAACTTAAGCAGGGCAGAAAGAGTTGAAAGAGGAAAGTTAAAGAGAAAAACCATCAAATTTCTGGCCCTGAGAAATAATCATTTTAGATTTAAGGAAAATAAGTACAAGCCCCAACAAAAGATTCTTAATAATTGAAGACATAGCTAAGTAAAAAGGATTTCCAAAACGCACTCACGTGAATTATATTTAGAGGCTGTAGTTTGATTAGAACTGCCTACAGGGTGTGATTTGAGGCTCCTTTGCTAAAACATAATTCTTCTGGGCTGTCGGAGGTGTATGAAAAGCCCGTTCCCCAATTCCCCTTCCTAAGGTTTCTCTCCAGCTTGTAGATTCTGCTGACCTTGGGCCAATCACCCCATCTCTCTAGTCCTCAGCTTCAAAATGAGGGGGCTGGACCAAGTCATCCCTGAAAGCCCCTCCATGACTCACAGTCTAGGGGCTGTTTTCCGTGTTAAATGGGAAAGTATCATACGAGGTGCTTGAATTGTATGAATGGAAGTGGAGAGCTCAGAAATATTGGGGGTAGGAGGAACTCAGGGGAACCCCAAGCTGTGCGATTCCCCTGAATTCATCTAACCCCTTTGGAGGAAAGGGAGGAATGAATGGAGGAAATGCAGATATTTGGGACAAAGATGAAAGGAGAGAGAGACGGGACCAAACTTAGGAAATTTCATTTCCACCACAATTTAATCTAAGGTTGACCTAAATTTTATTGTCCGTGTCTTTGATTGCAAATACATTAAAAATGATAATTATGTGGTAATTAAAGCCTGAAATTAACCAACAAAGGAAAGGTACACATTAGTGATAGGTCTTTAAATTATACCAAGACTTCCTGCATCTCCAGTCCTAATGGTTTCAGATTATTAACCAATTAGCAGAGAGGTGTAGGAGCAGGCAAACTTGTAGTGCAGGCGTCAGGAGAAGCAAAGACCAATCACGAAGTGAGAACAAAGCTTCACCGCACGGAGACGTAAGTCAGGGCACACACACGCCTCAGTTTAGAAGAGTTGGGTGACCCTTCCTCGTTGGTTTACCTTTGTGAAGTCTCTGCGTGTCAAAGAATTCCCATGGTTTGCACAGTGAGAGGATGTGTGGTGAAGTAATAGAGTTAGCAATAAAGCCATCCCACTAAGAAGGTTTCAAACTTAGACGATGTCGTCGATTTATTTACTATGTGGCTGCTTCACTAGAAGGTAAGCTCCCAGCAGTCAGGGACTTGCTCTGTTTGGTTCCCTGCTGTGTCCTCTGGGTCTGAATAGAGCTTGCGTCAATAAACATTTGTGAATGATGAGCCCAGGGTTTGCCTCAAAAGAGGAGAGGACTTCCTGCTGAAGACAGATGACTCACAAAGTCATTAGGATGAGAAATTATTTCGAGTTCTTCTTCTACATCCCAAGGATGATGAAAGAACCCCCACCCCAAAGCATGACTGAAATGGAATATCCTAACAGCCTATGTGAGTCTGGGCCTGAACCAAATTTATTTAAGAAAATACTCTGTTGGCCGGGCACGGTGGCTCACATCTGTAATCCTAGGACTTTGGGAGGCTGAGGCGGGTGGATTATGAGGTCAGGAGTTCAAGACCATCCTGGCCAATATGGTGAAACCCTGTCTCTACTAAAAATACAAACATTAGCTGGGCATAGTGGCATGTGCCTGTAGTCCCAGCTACTCAGGAGACTGAGGCAGAAGAATCGCTTGAACCCAGGAGGCAGAGTTTGCAGTGAGCAGAGATCACACCACTGCACTCCAGCCTGGGCAACAAAGCAAGATTCTGTCTCAAAGAAAAAAAGAAAGAAAAGAAAAGAAAAGAAAAATAAAATAAAGACAGTTACCCATTGCTGCAGAGCAGAGCACCCCAAATGTCGTGGCATAAAACAACACCTTTTTATTAAGCTCACAGATTCTGTGAGTCAGGAATTTGGGCAAAGATGGCTTGTCCCTGCTCTGTGATATCTGGAGTCTCAGCTGTATAGATTTGAAGGCCAGAAGGGCTAGAGTCCTGCAGGTTTCTTTATCACATGTCTGGGTCCTGGGTTGGGATGACTTGAAGTCTGGGCTTGGCTGGTTCTATGACCCAGAACACCTACATGGGGCTTCTCCGTGTGACTTAGGCTTCTCAGCACGGTGGTGGGTTCCAAATAGGAGATTCTAAAGAGCCAGTGTCCCCAGAGAACCAGGCAGAGACGGCCTCACCCTTCTGACCTAGCCTTAGAAGTTACACGAACAGTGTCACTTCCACCACACACGATGGTCACAGCTTGCCCAGATTCAAGGGCTATAACTCTACCTCTTGATAAAAAGAATGTCAAAGAGCTTGTGTCTACTTTACAAACTGCCCCAATGTATGAAGTTTTTCAACTGGATGTCTGCATGGAGACAAAGAGCATTTTATTGTATGTTGAAATTAGCTGACTAAAAAAGCATCATAGTCATCTTTCTTTTCAATAATTTATTGAATGTCTACTATGTGCCAGACACTATTCTAAGGGATCTTAGATGTGATCTCGTCTCACTGCAACCTCTGCCTCCCAGGTTCAAGCAATTCTCCTGCCTCAGTCTCCCAAGTGGCTGGATACAGGCGCCTGCCACCACATCCAATTAATTTTTGTATTTTTAGTATAGACTGGGTTTCATCATGTTGGCCAGGCTGGTTTTGAACCCCTGACCTCAGGTGATCCACCCACCTTGCCTTCCAGAGTGCTGGGATTACAGGGGTGAGCCATGGCCCCCAAATTCATTACCTCGAGGAGAGAACCAATTCATCAGGGATCTATTCCCATGATTCAAACACCTCCAGCCCCCCTGGCAACACTGGAGATTACATTTCAGTGTGATATTTGAGGTCGCAAATATCCACGCTATATCAGATGTTAAGTACATGCCTGAATGAAAGCGTTGAGTAGGCAGTTGGATAGGAGCCTGACTGGAGTTAAGGAAAGAGTAACAGTTTAGAAATACAGATTAAAGAGCTCTCAGCACAGAGGATGCCTCAAGCCATGAGGCTGAATGACATCTCTAGGCAGTGAATGTGGATAGATGGGAGGACAGGGGACCAGCTGTTCCGACACAAAGAGGCTGGGGATTTGAACAGAACCATCCTGCCTGAGGAGGTGCTCTACTGAGGCAGGAGGGAACTAGGAGCAGCCTGGCATCTGGGGGATGAGGGCAGAAGGTGCACAGGAAGGCGGAAGTGACCATTAGGTCAAAAGCTGCTGGCAGATCAGGGAAGATGGCTAAGGGCTGATTGTTGGTTTTAGCAATATGAGGGTCCCTTGTGACCTCAAGAGAGCAGCTCCACAGAGAGGATGGGGGTCAAAACCTAAATGGAAAAGATTCCAGAAAGAAGGGAAAACCCTGAATGAGTACAATTATTTGAGGAAATTTGCTACAAAGGGAAGTGGCAAAATGGGTTAGTTGCTGAAGGAGAATGTGGGTCAAGGGAGTTTTTATGAATATGGATAGCATGTTTCTGTGCAGATGGGAGTAATCTCATAGACAGGGAAAAGTGGATGATGTACCATGCAGAGGGGAAAGAATGCCTGGAGTGTCGCTGAGTGGGGACAAGGCCCAGGGCAGCAGTGGAGGCACTGGCCTGGAAGAGTGCAAGCTCTTGGGAGGCAGAGGGTGGGATCCATCCTAGCACAGACCCCGGTGCCTGATGCACCAAAAGAGGCACTCAGAAAATATTGTTTGAATGAATACAGTACAGCAATCGCAATGATAGCTGTTGTTACGAAGCGCTTGCTGAACATTAGGGGCTGTCGTAAGTACTCTGCAGGGATGAACTTGTCCAGCTCACACAAGGCCCTGTGTGGCGGGAGTGATGGGCACCTCCTTTCCACAGATGGGGCACTCAGATGGCCCAGTTCCTTGCCAAAGCTAGTAAGAGGCAGATCAAGATTCAAAACCAGGCACCTGGACCTTTCTAAGTTAGGATATTTGCCTGGGAGTTCCAAAATGTGGCTGGAAAAATCCTCTGTTAAAGAGTGTAAACACAATTCCCATAGAATAAGCCTCTTAAAATAAATATGAAGGACCACTCTCATCTACCCGATGGGAGTGAGAACCACTCAGCTTGAGACAAGGTGCCAGCGCGTCAGCATCTCCCTGGGAGCCCCTCCTCCCTCAGCCTGTGCTCCTCCTGGGGCTCCGTCCCCAGAGCCTGAAGCCTCTCCAAGGTGTTTTTCTATGACTTGACATTAGCAATATTATTAATCCCTTTGATGCATCAGTTTCCTAAGATTATTGATTTGGGGAGAGTTTCTACCGCAGATGATTCGGAAAACTTAGTGGCTGAGGATGTTTGCCCCATTTTCTGCGTGCTGTGCTGACCACTGCGCCCTGTTCACCGGGTCCACTGGCCGGGTGACTAAGGTGGGCTCTGTTACCAGCCTCACTTTTACGGACAAGAAAACCGAGAGCGTCAGGAGGTTAAGCCACTAATTCAAGACTGTACCCCACTAAGTGAATTGAACTCAGTTCTTGCTGACTCCCAATCCCACTCTCAGTCTTGTCTCTTATTGTGACAGAGATGGTGCCCCCAGCCTGGTCACACTGCTGAGTGTCACTGGGTGCTCTCTGGGGCCCCATGAACGTCTTGACAGATGACCTGAGTGTACATAGTAAAAGCTAACTCTTGCCACTGCATATTCTAGACAGTATGCCATTGTTTCCTTGAGAGAATTAAAGTGAACTCATCCGGCTTCTAGAGTTTTCAAGCTCTCTGTAGCGGAAAAAGCACACTGCCCTCCCAGTCCCTACTCTGCTGAGTAACCAATGTACTCACATCTACAAGGAAGCGACCCGCTGCCACCCTTCCCACCAAGGTGCTGCCAGTGCCCTCCCCAACAGACAGGTCTGGAGAGCCGCTGAGTGAGGAGGCCACCACTGAGCCCTAATGAGCCATCTAAGAGCACATTGTCGAAAGCCCTACAAACAAATGTTAAAAATCCCTTTTACTTATTTTATCTTATGCACACATAAATTTGTTCTTTAATTAAAATGTCAATGTTGTGATTTATTCATGGTGCAATTTCAGATGCCATGACAAGTATTAGGTGAGTTGTCTTTGAGTAGGGGTCTCCCTTCAGACTGCTCAACATTCTCTAAATTTATGTCTCTATTATTCAGAATGAGCTTGACTATCATCTTTCTACATCCCCAGTTGTAGACAGAAACATGTTTACGGCTGCACAATCAGACAGCCCGTGGGGTTGAAGAAGTTCTGCAGACCTTCAAGGCAGGTTGGCACATACCAGATTCCAGGGTCAGAATCAGGCAAAGGGAGGAATCAGGTATCTGGATCAGCTTACCATTCCAGAGCGTACCGAAAAAGATGGGGTGTGTGTGTGTGTGTGTGTGTGTGTGTGCCTTTCGTGTATGTCGTGTCTGGGTGTTGTGTGGATGGGTATGTGCACACATGTATGTCTGCTTGTCAAGGGAGAGAGTTGAAGCAGATCTGTAAACCCAGCTCAAGGTGAAGCAGACAGGCAGTCCAGAGAGGTAGAACATGATACGTGATACGTGTCCAGCCAGGTGGTCCTGGAAGCCCGGGAACAGATGGGGGTAAACAGCAGAGCTCCAGAGGACTGACTAAACCTGTCCAGGTGAGGGCCATGATGGCTAAGCTCATGGGGTGACCGAAAAGTGGACAGTTATTTGGAGATCAACATCACAGAAATAACTCCAAATTGAGTTGCTAGAGGGAAACTGAAGACCCGGGAGAGGAGACATGAAGTGAAGTTTTCTCCATCTCTTTCCCAGTGAGGATTAGAGTTAAATACAATTACATGCAATCTCGTCTATCTTATCTGATCCTGTTTGGATCTGAGCTGTAATTTTCCCCCTGAAACCTTCTATGCATTATGGGTCTGGCATTTCCATTTATCTTCCAGTAACTATTTACATTTGCATCTGTTCATCTCTAAATAGTTTCCCTTCCTTTTTCCCTGGCATCTTAAGCTTTTTGTCTCTCAAATGACAACTGCACACACAAAAGAAATGCCTGACTCTGCACTCAAATTTGGGTTTATTATGAATTCTGCTCTGTAGACAAATTTATGAATCCCGGGGTTCTCCCTCGAACTCATTTCGTTAGGATTAGAGGCAGAAATGTATAAAGAATGCAAGCCACAATGGCTAGCTGCTGCTTGATGGAGCCCATTTCTTCTGTTTCATGTACAACAAGGGATCACAGTGATTATCCCACCTGAAAACCCACCTGAAAGCCTCAGCAACAAAGGGCAGAGGTCTGAGGGGGACTAGACAGTACAACACCAAATCCAGTTGGAAGCTGTGGAGGCTAAGGCTTCTGTCTCGTAGGGCACGGGTCCCACCCAGGGATGAACTCAGCTGTGAGCCAGACTTGAATCACTCATGCCAAGGCACTGAGGCTCTCTACACGGTGACCTTCTGATGACTTTGGCTGTGTCCTGAGGGAGGGTTTCTGAGTTTCTCCGTGGAGGTGACTAAATCACAAAAGAGCCAAGGCGCCTTGAAGCCTACTGGGGCCTTGACTACTTGAGGGAAAGCACACGCTTGGCTGGCCTTGGGCAACACCTTTAGCTTCTGAAACACAGGGCAGGGGCGGTCGTTGGATCAGAGCAGCCTCTGTGCTGTGGTGCAGCACAAATAAAGGCTCGCTTTTGAATCCTGGCTCTGCCACTATGAGCAAGTCGCATGGCCCTTTGGAGCCTTTGCCCCCTCATCTGACAAATGGGCTAACAGAACTCAACTGAGAGGCTGGTACTGGCGTAAATGAGCAGTTGCACCATGACAGCACTGTGACAGTGCCCGGGGTTGTGACTTCCTCTGAAGTCAGTGCCAGGTCTCAAGGGGTGGCTGTCAGGCACAGATTGGATATAAGGGGTATGAAGAAAGTTCAAGTCCCCTTTGAAACTTATCTCACCTCTGTTTTCAGCTGTTTTGCTCTTGTGACTACCCTTGTGTCCCCTGAACTGGAACCCACACACCAGGAGCTGAGAAAATCCTGGGGGTGAAGCTTTAAAATCTCATTGCTAACTCTGCCCTGATGGATAGAAGTAGGTGACTCAGGCTGGACACAGTGGCTCATGCCTGTAATCCCAGCACTTTGGGAGGCTGAGGTGGGCGGATCACCTGAGGTCAGGAGTTCGAGACCAGCCTGAATAACATGGTGAAATCCCCACTAAAAATTAAGAAATTAGCCTGGCGTGGTGGCAGGCACCTGTAATCCCAGCTACTTTGGTGTCTGAGGCAGGAGAATTGCTTGAACCAGGGAGGCGGAGGTTGCAGTGAGCTAAGATAGCACCATTGCACTCCAGCCTGGGAGACAAAGCAAGACTGTGTCTCAAAAAAAAACCAAAAACCAAAAAACAAAAAACAAGTAGGTGAC